TGTCATAAAACAACATGTGTACTACTGTTTCATGAGAAACTATTTGTTCTGTAAGCCTTCACCTGAAGTACAATAAAATATATATAAAAAAAAAAGTAAGTATTTCTGATAGTTTTTGCCTCTTAATCCTCTAGACTTTCTTTTTTGGCATACTTACTCCTTCCATGGTTTTAGTAATCTCTCTTAGATGACTTTCATATATACTAGATCAAAAGCTTCTTGATGATAGGTATTTGTCTCTCTAATGCCTAACACAGTGCCTAGTGCATAATAAGCATTCAATACATAGTGTTTGAAAGAATGAATATATTTCTCCTTAATTTCAATTGTATATTTCCTAATTTCTACTATATCTCAAATTTAACTTAAAAAAATAGCTAATGTCTCCTTCCATCTTTATTACTTCCTTAATTTTCCCTCATTTCATACTTCCATTTCTCCCCATCCTCTAACCTTTCCCCCATTCCCCCTCGATAATCCCTATTGCTGCTGTTCTCTTTGGACACGATACCACTGTCCTCATAGTCACTAGACTAAAATCTTTATCCAACAGGATAAAGTTCAAAATCCTCTGTATAAACCCTTCATGATCTGGCCCTGGCCTGTTTTTCTAGCCTCACTTCTTACTGATCCCCAAAGAAGGTCTCCAGCCAAAGTGTTTGCTCCTCTAGGAAGCCTTACCTTTTGTAAATGGTACATGTAGACATTCAACAGTTGCTGTTGTCAGTTTGATCCCATATAGATAGCTTTTAAAAGAGCATAATGCTAAAGGCAGACATTTTTTACTAAGCTAAACTATTATTTGGTTTTAAGAAGACTTCAGGGGATATTTTTGGTTTAAGGTTTAAAGACACCGACAGCTTTTTTTAATGTGAGGTCTCAAGGCAGTAACAAAAAGAGACAACTGATTTCACACAGGCTTATTATTAAGTTCACCCCTACTTATACATACATACACATATGCACACACATATAATCAGATATTCCCTTCTAAATGGCTTACATTTTCCAGAAGGCCCTACACTGACAGGAAATAAAACAAGATACAGCTTCAATTGTTGGTGTTTATTTTTTATTTGTATAGAATACCTCCAAGAACTCTTTTCCAATGGTTATTACATAGTATTCAGAAAGGCCTGCTGGACTAGTATTTCCTTTGTTAAGACCCAATGGCCAAATTTTTAATGCGTGGCACATTCAAAAAATTTTAAATGTTCTTAGATTATAGAATATTTTGTTTGCCAATATTTTATAATTCTCAGAAGGATTTTATGTTGAGTTATTCTTTAATCAACCTTTCTTGATAAGGGCTCATAGTTGATATTTTTTACATTCACACATAACCTAATGACATATCTTACCAACAAAAAAACCCATTGCTGTCGAATCAGTTCCGACTCATAGCGACCCTATAGGACAGAATAGAACTGCCCCATAGGGTTTCCAAGGAGCGCCTGGTGGATTTGAACTGCTGATCTTTTGGTTAGCAGCCGTAGCTCTTAACCACTATGCCACCAGGGTTTCCCTGACATACCTTACTGTTTTATTATTGTTACATTGGTCATTCAACTCACCATTATCAATGGATTCAAAACTATCATCGCCATGAATTTACATTTGTAACTGATTATACATAATGCTCATGTATCAGAGGATAGGATAATAAAATATGTCCTCAAAACTATGACTATATTGTTTTCTAGGCTTATCAGTTGCTATATAAATAAAATTACTAGTATAGAAGTTGAAGTGGGAAAAGAACAAAAATTTATATTCAGTTAACTCTTTTTGGTCATTTGAAGGTATCGCAAGTTTTTTTCATTGACTGTAGCATACTGTGACCATTTCTATGTTGGCACCAAGCCTCAGATGCTATTCTGTCGTGAGTGTTTCTTCACTCAGATAGCATCGTTGTAGGAGGTGTAATGGTTAGTTTTCCCTTAAATTAGTTGTTCACTTGATGTATTTACTTCTTTTTTTTTAAGAGCATTCTGGTTCTCATTTCTCTGAATAAGGAGGTTCAGGTCTGTATGCCATGATATTGACTGGATCTGTAGCAAAATCTGATGTGACTCTGTCATTTTGAAATGTAACATCTTCCAACATCAAGATCTTTCTATGTCTAGATGAGCTCCAGCAGAATTGAAATAAACTAACTACTGGGTATTTTAAGTTTGTTAAATTTAAAAATCATCATTATTATTAGAGGATAGTAGTGGTCCAGTGGTAGACTTCTTGCCTTCCGTGCGGGAGACCCAGGTTCGATTCCCAGCCAGTGCACCTCATGTACAGCCACCATCTGTCTGTCAGTGGAGGCTTGTGTGTTACTATGATGCTGAGCAGGTTTCAGCAGAGCTTCCAGACTAAGACGGACTAGGAAGAAAGGCTTGACTATCTACTTATGAAAATCAGCCAACGAAAACCTTATGGAATCACACCACCAGAGCCACAACTGATTATGAGGGTTGGCACAGGATGGGCAACATTTCCTTCTGTTGCGTATGGGGTTGCCATGAGTCAGAGATGGCTCAGTGGAAACTAACAAGTTTTTTATTTATTTTAAATTATTTACTGAACATCAGTGTATATATGTAATTATGTATATATTTTTTTACTATCACCACTCTCAAGGAGACTTTAGGGAACTAACAATGTAAAAGATATTTTTTTCCTAAAAATATTGTTATTAAGTACAAAAGTAATGGTTTATGTAGTAAGTGTTATGGAAGTTCAGAAGAGAATGAGATTAATGAATGAGGAACAAAGATTTAAGTTAGGCCTCAAGTGGGATACATAAGACTTGGAAAGATAAAGGGGGGAGGGTGGGAATAACCAGGCTGTGGAGAAAGCATGAGTAAAATTATAGAGACAGAAATGTGTATTACAGAGTCAGCTAAACAGATTGATCTGGCTAAGGAAAAGGATTTGTATCAAGAAATAGTGATTGAAGCCAGAATATAAAGTGCCAAGTGAAAGAATTTAAATTCGATGCCTTACGCAGTAGAGATCAATTGAATGTTTTGAGATAAAAGCTGACAGGAAAAAACGTATTAGTTAGGAAGACTGATGTAATGTGTGTAGGGGGTGGGTTGGGAAGGGGAGCAGAGAACTGGAAGTCGGATAATAGCCAACCAGTTAGGAGGAAGTATAAGGTGATCCTACTGGTGGCAATAAAAACCAAACCAAACCCGTTGCCGTCAAGTCAATTCCAACTCATAGCGATCCTATAGGACAGAGTAGAACTGCCCCATAGGCTGAGAGAAAATGAAGGGGTTAAGGTACTAGTGCCTCCTAGAGGGTAAAAAGCTTTTGTGGTGGAGGTGAAGCTATAAAAGAATAGAAGAATAGAATGGTTACATAACCCCCCACCCTGAGGCTTCTGATTTTAAATAGCCAGTACTTCGTGTGTTAGATAGAAGTTCGACTAAATTTACAGCTGCAGCAGCTCCTCTCAGAATTTGAAATTAAAGTCCTCAGTGTTATACAAGAGAAACCACAAAATCTTTGGTCATAATGGAGGGACTTCTGTGTTTCTATAGAGTGCCTATGCTTCTTGAGAATTAGGGTCTTCAAGAACCAACAGCACTAAGAGTAGGTCAGGTCTATTCATGTGAGAACATGTCATTGTCTTAGAATATGTCTACTTATTTATTCATTCAACAAATACTTATTAAGTACCTCAGTACACTGGCACCTTGCCAATCTCTCTGTGGCATATGTATCTTCTTTCTGGGAGACATTTGCCTCTGAAGGCTCAATGTAGGTACTCACCTGATTACTTAATTTACTTAATTAGAAATACCTTAAATGGACCTATTTAAGGTATTAAAGAGGGGAAAATGAAACTATTTCCCCCTCTATTTATATCCTGGCATATTCTTACTGAACACACAGAAGTTCTTCTCTATAGCCAGATAACCTCACAATCAGTATTTCAAACTTTTGTGTATTAATTTTTCATTTCTCAATAGTTTTGGATGCCTACTGAAAATGTAATGCTGGGAGGCAATAAGGAAAGCAAATTCCATTTCTCTAAACTAAAGAGAAAGAAAGATTTGGAAAAGAACAGAAAAATTAGAAAAATAGAATGGATGAGGCAAATGTAAGTTGATGAAATACTTAGATTTACTAAAGAAGTATACAGTATTTTAAACTAAAAAAATTTTCTATTACTACTAAAATAATTATGGTATTTTTAAAAGAAAATATAAAATTATGGTTACATTTTTTAAAAAATGCATAGAAAACAAACATTTAATGTATGCCTACTATGTGCCAGACACTCTCTTAATCTCTGGAATATAAATGGGAAAATATATATTGTGTTTGACCTCAAGAAAATTACACTCTGTTGGAATGTCAGAAAAGAAAATAAGCATTTAGTATTATACATCAGATAACTTCAGTTTGTTCCTCCAGACACACCCTATACTCTTCGCCACTGTTCTCTAAGAGACTGACCTTAATAGATTACATCTAGGGGCTTCTGTGCCCTCAGTCTTCAGCTGGGCTCATCCAATGGGCAGGAGGTGGAGGAGGGAGAGAAAGATAACTTAGAGATATTTTTCCTCTATTTCCTTCCTGTGATGTCGACTTGGACTGGCTGTGCCCCTTAATCAAAGATACTGCACCTCAGAAGTCAACGGACTACATGACTTGCTCTTTTTCCAGTTTTTGGTAACTGTTCCCTTCAAATTACTTCAGATCTAGAGTGGTAAGAGCTCAGTGACACTAACCCTGGCTTATTGCACTATCCTGTATACCAGTGATTTCTCTGGATGTGTTGGTCCCCTACACTCAGACTTTTATTAATAGTCTAGTTGTAAACTTTACTTGAATTAGCCTATTTTGAATATGCGATGTGTTTCCTATTGGGACCCTAACTGATATAGTAATGGGTACCAGGTAAGATTCCCAGGAAACAAATTTTTAAATATGGAATTGGTTTGGTCATATATTCAAAGCCATAAATAATCTCCTTAATTGAGTAAATAGAACACAGATAATCTATAGCATGCAGTGGCCCTCAGATTATTAATGGTGGAGGCATAGGACAAAATGGAGATGGAAGGCAAGGCTTTGGATGATTAAGTGACAGAGATACTTAGTCTCTGTGGCACCGATATCGATTGTAAAGATTGTGGAGTAACCCAGCTTCTTCTTATGGTTATAAGTAGTGTAGACAGGGAAAAAGATAAATTTAAAAACATAATCATGCAATTAAGATCGTGTGTAGACTTCACAAGAGATGCTGTGGAAACAAAGGGTTGTAAGAATTCTGTTTCTGGCCTTGATGGAGTAACAAGGCTAGATTTACCTGCCTACTTTAAACAAATGAAAAAAAATAGACAAATATATTAAAACATTTTTAG